TTAAATTTTAGTCAAAATGTTTAATTCCCGTGTTATCAAATATTGTTATTCCAGATAGAGATCTATCTTAATCATCAAATCTTCATATCAATAACGTTTCATCTTTCATCAGGGATCAACAGAACACAAACGTGTCTCTTCTCTGAAATTTCTGTCAAAAGCGGCATAATTGATATTGGTTAAATCTCTTTATCTTTTGATATCTTTTTTGTATTTTTCGATTTCTTGTAGATGACCTTCATTCTTTCTACCTCGCACTAGGTCATAAGCATTTTGCTGCGCTATGTTAGAGTCGCCGGTAAATATCGCATTAGGTTAGAAGCACTTTTGCTGCCCGGCATGTCGAAAATTTTTCACCCCCGCTCTGCTCCTGTCCCGGCCTTTGGTGTCAGCATTATACTTCTTTTAATCTGTTGATATTTTTTGTGTATCTAATTTTCGATCATCATGTGCGTCTGATACACCCTTCATAAAAGCTTGGTAGCCAAATGGAAAGTTGTACAATGATCAATTGTTTGATCACTACAAATTTCAGGCAATAATGGTGAAAGTTTGCTCCCGTAAACGTTTATTTTTAAAGTCTGGTCTTTTATTTTCTAAAATATCGTCTGCTTACAGACTTTATTTCAATCTTAATTTGAGATTTATTTCCTATATACAAGTAAGGTAACCCAATAGAATGTTGTACTATGTAACCGTTAGGCTGAAAATAATTTATTTTAAACTGCCTTCTGAGTTACATTACTTGGAAATTCAAGGCGAGACGGCAATTGATTTGATCGCCTTTATAGGTCCAACCATTACAATATGATGGATCCGAACTATTTTGCAAAACCTTAGGAACTAAACTATTGTTCTGACTTCTACCGCATTGCAAAATCCTCCACATCGAACATCTGTTGCATGTCCATAGAAATATGAAGAGTTACGTGTTCATGTTATATCTGCATTTGTGAAATAATTCCATTTTATAGAAGTGATAGGTGTGTTTTCTTTCTGTAACATTATTTTTGATTTGCCATATATTTGAAAAACAGCTGAAAATTAAACATTTAGGTTGAAGAGTTCGGCTGGTAGACAGATGGAATATGTGCTCGACGAAGCCTTTATATAGCCGGCAATGAATTACTAAATCTATTAGCAATAGGTTATGTATGCCCAAAGTTAAAGGTGAGTGGTTCTCTCTAAACCACCCTCAAGTGGTGGTTTAGAGAATTTTCATTGATAATCATGAACTTCGTTATCCCAAAATTATTGGGATGATTCGGGATATAGTTTCAAGAATTTTCAAAGATGTGCAGTGTACTGATTACTAAAAAAATTCTGGCAGATTCCGTTGGATGCCACACTGAAATACTGTATCACTCACGGTCATCATGAGAGATACTGATTATTCATATACCACTGAAATTGCAATAGTTTTCTCTCTCTCCTTTTTAAACAAAATTACTTTTAAGCAAAAGCCTAAACAAGTTATTAGGTTATTTTTAGATAAATATTTTTCCTCGAATAACAGTTTCTATGCAGTGCACGTTGACGTGTATCTTTTAATTTACCCTTTCTAAAAGACTGCTCATGAGTTATAAAAAAAAAATTTTTTTTTTTAAAAATAAAAAACACCACTCTGTTTTCTTTTAATTAATAATATGTAATTTACTCAAATAACATTTTTTATGCAGTTTTAGACCAATTAATATGCTTCCATTTCATTTTACTTCTAATAATATAAAACAACAATAATTATAAACGGACAGGTATAAAGCACACCACAGGAAAATATTTGGTTTCTCTGTTTATTTGAAAATATTTGAAGAAAAAATGCTCCGTTGCTCAGTACAAGCTTTACAATTTTTTAATTCGTAGGGACTTAACATTCCTGAACAAAAAACACTAGGTAAAAGATGCATTTATTCATATTTATGTGTAATCATGTTAATCACATATTCATAATTTACTTCAAAAGTTTCTTTATATTCAAAACCTGTTTCATTATATTTGAAACGATATAAATTTGGACTTGCGGCTCTTGAACGTTCATAAAATCCACCATGTGGCTCCCATCGTCTTGAAGTTTGGCTATCTCTGGTATAGTATATAATTAGAAGACAAAATTTAGAAACTGAAATAAATCGAAATGTGTACTAAGATATGAATAAAATAAACAGAGCTAAAAGTTTTCTGAGACTGAATAAGAAAATAGAATAAGAAGGATATTATAAAAACATATAAAATAATTTAGCATTTCAACTGCAAAGATATTCGCCTGTTCTGATAAATATTGCCTAAATTTTACGAGGAAAAAATGACAGATTCAGAACACTAATTTAATTTGAAAAATAAGATATTTCTGTACAAAGAATTAAAAAGAACAGTTAAGAATGAATTGAATAACAAAATGTTGACACTTTCATTGATTATATATATGCAATAATTAATAAATAATAAATAAAATTTGGTGAATTGTAGAGTCATTAGGTTAATTGGAAGCAGAAAAGATGAAAAATATGCAACCGCCTTCTCCGGGAATCGAACCGCGGACCTTTGGCATACCGGCCCAGCGTGCGGAACCACTACACCACGAAGGACGCTAGGAAAGCGGGAGAAATACTTTATATACTCCCCTTTTTAAAGGGCGACTAGGGTTTTAGGGGACCTAGTCTCCGAATCCTGGGTGTGGAGAATCATCATCCACAACCCTTTTAGTTCGGGCGCCACTGTAGAGTCATTAGGTTAATTGGAAGCAGAAAAGATGAAAACTATGCAACCTCCTTCGCCGGGAATCGAACCACGGACCTCTAGCATACCGGCCCAGCGTGCAGAACCACTACACCACGAAGGACGCTAGTAAAGCGGGAGAAATACCTTATAAAATAATAAAAAATTAAATTACTAAAAATTAAAAGATGAATATAATATATCAAATTAAGGGTAAATAATAATATATACAAATGTTTAATTTAATAAATTAAATTATTAAACATTTAAAAGATAAGTTACATGAATGCAAAAATATCAGAATTTGAAATATAGTACCCACCACTTGTTTAATTGAGTGGTTAATAATCTCAGCCGCTTATTACGCTCAAATGTTTAGGAACCAAAACAAATATATACTGATCAATATAACCGCCGTTTATTAAACTCATCTCATCCGTTTATAAAACTCCAACTGGCAAAAGACTGATTCTTCAGATCCATAACAAACTGTTTGTAGTTCATTCATTTATCTTCCTGTTAAGTAGTGCTTCAATAAAACGGGTTTAGCAGAACTTTCGACCAATGTAATTTGAATCAAAGCCCCCTGGGGTGTTGGGTATTCTTTCCTAGTCCTCGTCAGAATTGTTTGTAAATCCTTCATGGGTTTTTAGGATAGTTTCAGTTTGTTCACAGAAAATCCACCTTGCGAGGTTTCGGTCACACTTAGGTTCTGGAGCTCTCTTTCACAGATTGTGCCTCTCGGCATAGGTCACGATCAAACTCCATGAGAGGTAAGTTTCTCTGTTACGGAATGGCAACGAGAGAGAGATTTTTGTTCGAAACAAGGAGGTTAGAATAGCCTTGGTTCGAAAAGATGGATGTCGAATTCTGTTGGAACGATCATTTTGTGGATGTTGCGTATTGTAAAATAAGTCTATTACACTGTGCTAAATGCTATATATTAATAATTAAAATGCTACATATTAAAAATATAAGGGCGAGTCAAATGAAAGTGAGCCAATGCGAATATATGACAAACAGAGTACATTATTTAAAGGTAGTCTCCATGAACATTGAGACATTTATCCCATTGACAAATGAGCCGCGTGATCCCCGTCTCATAAAGCTCCTTGGGCTGTCGATTCAAAAAGTCTGTAATCGACTCCTTCACGGCGTCGTCCGACACGAATCTGGTACCTTGAGATGTTTTTTTCAGTTTCCCGAAAATGTGAAAGTCGCATGGCGACAAATCTGGTCTGTATGGAGGATGTTGCAGCGTGTCCCACTTGAACTTTTGCCAGTTGTGTCTTAACCACATCAGCGACGTGGGGACGAGCATTGTCGTGTAGCAAGATCACACCATTCGTTAATCTTCCAGGTCGTTTGTTCTTGATTGCGACACGCAGCCGATCCAGCGTTGCACAATATCGCAAACTATTGATAGTCTCTCCACGTTTAGCAAATTCAATCAGTAATGGCCCCTGACGATCGAAAAAAAAAGTCAATAGCACCTTTCCCGAGGAAATTCCACTGTAAGCTTTGCTGGCGTGTTTCAGGTTCGTAGTGGTGGCACCATGATTCGTCTCCGGTCACAATTGCAGACAAGAAGTCGTCACCCTCATTGTGATACCGTATGAGATGAGTCAAAGCAGCACCGAACCTCTCCATCTTCTGGCGGTCGTTCAAAATCTTGGGCATCCATTGAGCACACAAAAGCCGATAACCGAGATGATCATGAATTATGGTATGAACAGAACCGTGACTTATGTTCACACGCTCTGCCAGTTCATCGATGCTTATCCTCCGTTCTTGTCTAATCAGCTCATCAACCTGTGCAATTGTGTCGGGGGTGATTGCAAGGTGGCTTTTGGTCCGGTCTTGGATCGTCTTTGCAACTTTCACGTCCTTCTCTGAACCGTTTGCTCCAACGCTTCACAGTGGCCAGTGCGATGCAATGTTCATCGTACACAGCAGTCATACGGCGACTAATTTCATGTTGGGAAACACCTTCAGCTGTCAAAAACCTGACCACACCACGCTGTTCCTCTTTGGGCGTCCATTTTCGTACGTCTTCAATAGTGTAGAGGCCTAAAGACTTGACTCAACTTTGCGCCACTTTCGTAATGAAGGCTGCTCTGTGGCATGCCCGCAAGATGAAGAACATTTTGTGAGGGGTTGCTACTTCTTGACCGATTTATCTTTCATCTGATCTAATTTTTAACAAACCGCTCATTATTTTCTCTTAAACTCACAATGTTCACGACATTTCTGGCGCCCCCCGGGTGGGCGTGTTTGTTGGAAACATGTCGGATGAAAGAATAGATAGGGTAAGTTGATTACCTTATACTTCCGTTTTGAAGTTATTGATTATTGTTTTACTGAAGTTTAAAATACTTTTCTTGCCTAATTTTTATCTGAATATTTTAAACTTTTATGACAAAATGGAAGTGATGAAAAGAAACAAAACTGCGCAACGTTCAGCTTTTACTAAAGCATATAAAAGACTAGATGAACTTTTAAATGATGATAATGTTGATTATGAAGAAGCAGAAATGTGTTTTTATTTGTTCAAGAAAAAGGCAGAAACATTAGAATTGACGCACAGTGCTTATTTAGATACTATAACTGATGATAAAGAATTCGAAACAGAATTTGAAATAACAGAGGACTATCGAGAGAAGGCTGTTAGGATACAGTTAAAATCGGAACGATTTCTCGATAATATTAAGAGTAAATTAAACGAAATCCAAAATACATCGTCAGAGAGTAGTCAGAAATTAGTTACTGATGAAAATACATGTAAAACTTTGTGCCAACGCCTACCGAAAGTAGAACTTTATAAGTTCGCAGGTGATTTAAAAAATTGGCTTACGTTTTGGAATCAGTTTAAAAACATACATGAAAATAATAACTTAACGAATGCAGACAAATTCCATTATTTGATACAGTCAACAAAAATTAAATCAGAAGCTAGAGATATTGTAGAATCTTTTCCGGTGACGAACGAAAATTATCCTTTGGCTATAGAAAGCCTTACTGAGAGATATGGGCGTAAAGAACTTTTAATTGATTTTTATGTTCGAGAGTTAATAAAACTTGTTTTGGATAACGCAGCGAAAAAGGAAGCAGGATTCTTTGAGTAGTTTGTATAACAAACTTTCAACACAACTTAGAGCCCTGAGCAGTCTTGGTGTGTAACGACTGATCAGTGTGGAACAATTTTATATCCTCTTGTGGAAAGTGCTATTCCTATTCACGTATTGCGATCGTTTGAAAGACAACGAAAAATTACTGAATCTGAACGAAACATTTCGAGTCTTGATGCAATAATTGAATTTCTGAAAAGCGAAGTTCAGTCAGAAGAAAAAATAAAATTAAGCAGAGCGGATATTTTTTTCTATGTCTGATCGTAAGCACTTGGCAACTAGCCAAAATATTCCTTCCGCGTCGGATTTGATGAATCATGAAGCAATACCTTCTTGTTCGTTTTGTTTAAAAGATCATGAAACGCGTAATTGTAAAAAGGCGTTTTATATTCCGTTAGATGAAAAAATGTCTGCGGTAAAAAAGAAAGGTTTATGCAGAATATGCTTGGTTAAAGGTCACCTCAGTAACCAGTGTCGATCAAGTGTTAAGTGTCAGATTTGTTCAAAAAGGCATTTGAAATTTTTTTGTCCTAGTCTTGAATGTAATAAGTCTAGTGAAATGCATAACCAGGAAAATGATGAGAAAAAAGAGAAAAGAGAAAACAATCGATTCTTTGCATTCGCGTGCTACGAATGAAGTTTTCCTTCAGACCCTAGTTGTGAACATAGAGGGTAAGAATAAAAGGCGTAAAGTTAGATTAATGATTGATACGGGTAGCTCAAAAAGTTATGTTTTAAAGTCTACTGCAGAAGAAATGGGTTTTGACTTGCAATGGGAGGAAGAATTTAGTCACTCTTTATTTGGTGGAAAGAAAACTGAAATTTATAAACATCAATGTTACAAGATTTATTTGAGTAGCCTTGATGGTAAATATTCGTGTAAATTAGATGCTGTAGACCATGATGTTATTTGTAATGATATTTCAAGCATAAGATACGGTTCTTGGATTCGCGAATTAGGAAATAAGGGAATACGCTTAACTGATACCCAAGGGAATCCAGGCCCTATTGAAGTACTGTTAGGGCAGACGTTGCAGGGGTTGCAAGGAAGTTATTAACTGGCAGAAGAAGAACAGGTAAGAACAGGTTTAGTAAAATAGTGAAAAAATTGGGTAAGGACTTTGGGGTGGGTAAAGTTTGATGGGTAAAGAATACCTCAATCAGAACATCACAATCATGATAAATACTGACTATAGTTTCTCAAGAAGAAGACCTGATATTTCATTTCTCTTGTTCTTAGAATTATTGGGTATCCTGAGATCAAAAGTTGAACAAAAAACTAAAGAAGAGTCATTAGAAGAGATTATGGTTCATTAGAAGATAGATACGAATTTGAGGTTGGACATTTTATTTACTGGCAAACGAGAAGAACTAAGAACAGGTTTAGTGGCTATAGAAACAAAATTGGGTTGGACTTTGATGGGTAAAGTACCTCAATCCGAACATCAGCACAATGTAAATATGACTATAGTTTCTATGTTATCTCAAGAAGACCTGCCTATTTCATCGTTGTGGGACTTAGAATTATTGGGTATCCGAGATCCTGTTGAACAAAAAACTAAAGAAGAGTCAAGAAGAGCTATTATGGTTCATTTCCAAGAAACAGTTCGTCAATTAGAAAATGGTAGATACGAGGTTGATATGCCTTGGAAGATTGAGCATGCAGTCTTACCTGACAATTATGACCTATCTTTGAAAAGACTCGAATCTACTACGAAGAAGTTGGAAAAAATCGGATATCGTGAAAGGTATCATGAAGTCTTTAATGAATGGCTGCAGGAAGGAGTGATTGAAGAAGTTCCCCAAAAGGAGTTGTCTTTACCCGTTGTTCATTACCTCCCACATCGTCCAGTCATTAAGGAAACGTCCTCACTATCTTCCATGAAAATTAGACCCGTTTTTGATGCTTCGGCAAAGCTTTCTAATCAGCCATCTCTAAATGATTGCTTAGAGACTGGAATTAATTTGATTGAAACTATTCCGTCTATTCTAGCAAGATTTCGCTTACATGAAATTGGTGTGATTTCAGACATCAGAAGAGCTTTTTTACAGATATCTCTAAATGAAAGAGATCGAGATTTTTTACGATTTCTTTGGTATGGTGATGATGGTAGAGTGAAGACATTTCGTCACACCCGTGTGGTATTTGGCATTACTTGTAGTCCATTTTTGCTGATGGCGGTTATTGACCATCATTTATCCAAAGAAACGTGGAAAGAAAAATATTCTGAAGAATTTCTTAAAAAATTACAAGATAGTTTTTATGTCGATAATTGCGTAACTAGTGTACAAAATAATGACGAACTAGAAATATTCATCGAATCTGCAACTAATGTAATGAAAGAAGGAATGTTTGATCTCAGAGGATGGGAAAGTTCTGGCATTCCTGCATTTTCAGAAAGTAAAACATCACCGGTATTAGGACTGGTTTGGGACAAAGATTTAGATACCTTAGAAATAGACACCGAATTTTTGAAATTTGATGAAAGAGAAAAAGTAACTAAAAGGAAAATGCTTTCACTAGTTAGTCGAGTATTTGATCCCATAGGTTTCCTTGCACCTGTTATGATTCAGCCTAAGATTTTGCTGCAGGCCGCTTGGAAGAGCAAAGAATCATGGGATGATGAAGTGAATGATGAAATAAAGAAGAATTTTTTAAAATGGGGAAAACAACTGAAATACCTCAAAAATATAAAAATTCCAAGATGGTTAGGTGTGATGAAGGAATCCAATTTAAGTATCCATACTTTTGTCGATGCCAGCAAGACAGCTTATGCGGCATGCATTTTCTTAAGAAGTGAATCCAGTATGGGTTCAGTGACTGTTCAATTACTTCAAGCCAAATCACGAATAACTCCAACGAAGACTATTACTATACCACGACTTGAACTAATGGCTGCTACCATAGGTGCTAGGCTGTTTAGTTCTGTGAAGCAAGCTCTAAAACTTCCCAACATCAAGACTTACTTTTGGACAGATTCTTCCACAGTTCTTGTGTGGATAACTCGTCGAGAACAGTGGTCGGTATTCGTTACAAACAGAATAAGTGAAATTAGAAAATTGACAATTTCGGAAGATTGGTTCCATATTTCAACTGACCAGAATCCAGCAGACATTTTGTCAAGAGGTTGTGGACCTAGGCAACTTCAGAAACGCAAGTGGTGGCAAGGGCCAGCCTGGTTGAAGAATCCGAAGGAGCAGTGGCCAAAGTCAGCTGTAAATATTAACGAAAAAGAAGTAGAGATAGAGAAACGAAAGTCAGTCATCTCTGCTAGTAACACAGAGCTAGAGTCAATTCCATTACAGTTAGCCAGAAGATTCTCTAGATTTTCAAAGATGATTAGGGTTATGGCTTGGATACTGCGTTTTCAACCAAAGGCCAAGGACTTAAGAAAATGTAAGGAACTTCAAAATGAAGAATTGTTAAATGCACAAAGGACTATTTTCCGTGTAATACAAAAGGAATGTTACTCTAATGAAGAAACACGAAAAAAATTTGAAAGGTCTTCTAATATTTGAAGATGAAGAAGGAATTTTACGATTGAAGTCCAGATTGATAAATGAGGAAGAATCGAAAGATTTTATTTCTCCAATAATTCTACCATCGAAACACCTGGCAGTGAGAAGATTTATAGCCCAAGAACATATTGCTAACAAGCATGCTGGGACATTAACTCTACTGACTATTTTACGGGAAAGATTTTGGATAGTGAAAGGGAAAAGAACTGTCCGGAGTGTTATCAAAGAATGCTTAACATGTAAAAGGCAAAAGGTAAAACATCTTGAGGTACCTTTTCCGCCTCTTCCAAAAGACCGAACAGAAGTAGCAGCAGTTTTTCAAGTATCAGGTGTAGATATAGCTGGACCTCTGTTGACTAAATCTAAACAAAAGGTGTGGATAGTACTTTTTACTTGCGCCGTATTTAGAGCTGTCCATCTTGAGCTAATACCTTCACTGAGTACCAATGACTTCATCCAAGCTATGCGTAGGTTTATAGCCAGAAGAGGACGAATTTCTGTGATGTATTCAGACAATGGTACTAATTTTACAGGACTAAATAATGCTCTGAAACAATTAGATTGGACTACAATTGAAAGTGAATTTAGAGTCAACGAAATTCGTTGGAAGTTTAACCCACCCTCCTCTCCATGGTGGGGAGGCTTCTGGGAACGCTTGATTGGGATTTTGAAAGATCTTTTGAGAAAAAATCTTGGACGCTCCTGTTTGTCTTACGAGGAATTGCAGACTCTCGTCTGTGAATGCGAATCTATCATGAACAGCAGACCGTTAACTTACATATCCGAGGAACAAGATCTGAAGACCTTGACCCCCTCAATGTTTCTTCAGGACATTCCATTAAATGATGTTCCTGATTTGGATCAAATTGAAAAGACTAATATTGTTTTGAGATGGAGACATATTCAAAAGGTTCGTGAAAATCTAAAACGAAGGTTTAAAAGGGAGTATCTGGGTTTCCTTCGTTCTTCAGTTAACAAAAGAGAAGATAAAATAAATGTAGGTGACATAGTGTTAATTGGTACAGATGATAAAAAAAGGCTCCATTGGCTGCTAGGGAGAGTACTGGAACTCTTTCCAGGAAAAGATGGAATCATCAGACTTGTGAAACTGCGAACTGAAAAGGGAAACATATTAAGACCAATGACCAATCCAACGACTGTATCCTTGGAATTGACCCCAAATTACGAGCAAGTCGTATCGGAACCTCAGAAGGTTCCGGAAGTGGTAGCTGAAAATCCTGAGCTTAATACTGACTCTAATGAAACTGTTCGCGTGTCTCGCTCAGGACGAAAAATAAAACCAGTTAAAAGACTGGATTTATAAACTTCTAAACAAACTTTTGAACTTTCTGTGTTTGAACTCTAAAATATTGATTTCAATTTGCATTCTAATATTTTGAAATATTTCTATTATTATTATGTACGTTATTGTTATCTCAAAATTGTATGTATGTATTATCATTATATTACTGTTTTGAGTTTGTATCCCCAAACTCAAGGTGGGGAGAAGCCGATACCCCTTTTTAACCAAAAAGGATAGTTTATGTTTTTTGGAGTGTGGAAGGATCCGTTTGTTTTTTAAAAGTATAATATTGTTTTTTTCATTATGTTTAGGGCTACTTAGTATGAATTATTTACATTTCGTATTTTTTATTTTAATGTTGGAAAATTTTGTAGCTGTTCTCAAGCTTATCCAAGTGTTTCGATTTAGCATCGAATAGATTTACTCTAACTTGAACATTTTGCGTAGTATTGCTTGGAATATTTGTTTGGTATACTACTTTAGGAATTCTTTGTTTTGATTACGTCTTTCTAATAACATATTCGAATACAGAATGCCTCGACACTTCAATGTATTTGGTTGCAAATCCAATTACGACAAAAACGAGAATGTCACTACTTACTCTTTACCTAAATCACCCAAAAGAAGAGCTGGATGGTTAAGGAAAATTCCACCGAGATTTAAGTAAATTAAAAAACCTCGTAATTTGTATGAAGCATTTTGATGAATCACAGATAATTATTAGAAAGTGAGAAGAAGCTTCGTTTTAAAAGCAATATTATAATTTCATCATCAAATATCAATGTCCCTTTAACGTCTCTTTTACCAGATTACGATAAGGATTCCATCTTTACCTTTGTGAATATTGATGATTATTCAGATTTATTAATTTATTATTATCTATATTTTGGTTTATATCTTTTTAATTTTTACATTTGTTTGGGAAAATTTGTAGCTGTTCTGAAGCCTATCCAAGTGTTTTGTTTTAGCATCGAATTTACTAATTACTAATTTACTAATTAATTTACTAATTAATGATTTTTCTATAGAAAATGTTCCTTCTGATATTTTACCAGTGCTAGTTTATGTTTCAGGTTATGTTTCCATGAAAGAATTAAGGGTGGTAAAATGCAGTATTTGCCAGGACTGGTTGCAAAGTGTTCATTCGGTAGATATAGCAGATGATATTTTTGGTTTTCTTAAAGAATTAGATAGGGGGAAATTAACTTTACCATCTGAAGTTGCTTTACTAACATCTTCAATTGCACATTTCTTATTTGGTGAAATTCTTAAAAATATGGAAGATACATTTCTCATATCAGGAAAGCAATTGGGCATTTTATATAAGTTATTTTGCATACAGTTAGGTCAAATTAACTTTAACTTAAAAGATTCTTGCACTTGTGGAATGATTTTGCAAACCTGGTTAGAAAATATCTGTTTGATAATTTGTAAAAACTTGTTAAATAATTATACAAAATATAAAAATGACAAAATTACTGTAAAATGTTCATATTAAAAAGTTAAAAAAAATTTACCAATTAATTTCCAGTTAATAAGTCACAACTGTTTTTATGTTGCTATGTATGCTTCTGCATGAAATTATGTATAATACGTAGGATGCGTGTATATGGTACAGCTTGCAAGTTTTATGAATCTTATTTTTGATAGTGGAATAGGCCTGTAATTTGGGAATACCACTTTAAAAAAAAAATAGAATAACTAAACTAATCACTTATCCTCTTAGGTGGTTTGGAAAAAGTGATACAACATAAAATTGGAGCTGGCACAAATAGAAGGCTGTCCTTTTTATGAATGTAATTAGCATTTAATTTTTCGAAAATTTCTTGAAAGATTTATTTATAGTATAACATGCATGTAAGTTTATCTTCATACACAAATTTTCTAGCATTTAAGGAATTTTTAATTCATTTCCCTGTTTTGACAAAATTGTGATATCCAAGTTTTTTATTAGTGAATGAAGTGATGAGAGATGACTATGGATATTTGTCTTCTAAAAATTTATATAGCTGATACGATGGTAGCGGCATGGAGTTTTACAAAATATTCTGCCCCTAATATTTATTTTAGTATTAAGAAATTCTAAATAAATTTTACATCCATAAATATATTGAATTTTTCTCCTTTTGTGGATTTTATATTATTTTGGGAACAAATTTGATTTAGATTCCATAAATGGATTCTATTTTTATTAAAATTGCAGAAATAAAGTTTGTATGTGGTGATTCTCAATGATATTTTTAGTTACAAAGTACAATTGTTTTAAAAATTATTGAAGCTATGCAGTTTACCGCCTGTGAAAATATTACACTATGAAAATTTTAATGAAAGTCATGCTACCTACTCACGTTTATTAATTTTACTTATATTTATTTTAAGAGAAAACTATTATTTTCGGCAAGATAAACTTCGTGATTATAGTGAAGAGAAAAAGATCGACTATTTTGATCACGTGACCTTCCGAAACTGATTTCGCTTCAAGGCCATGATAGAGTCGGCCATGCAAACTCCATGAGAGGTAAGTTTCTCTGTTACGGAATGGCAACGAGAGAGAGATTGTTGTTCGAAAAGATGGATGATCGAATTCCGTTGCAACGATCATTTTGTGGATGTTGTGTATTGTAAAACGAACCTATTACACTGTGCTAGATGGTATTAAAATGCTATATATTAAAAGATCTTTCATCTAAACTAATTTTTAACGAACCACTTATTATTTTCTCTTAAACTCACAATGATGCTCACATCTTTCATCTAAACTAGTTTTTAACGAACCACTCATTATTTTCTCTTAAACTCACAATGATGTTCACGACAATAGGCATAGAACGGCAATGGTACCGATATCTAATTATCTTTACTCGTACGCATCCCATATCTCGACACTGAAAATAGTCATACTTGAATTGACTAAAAAGCGCGGTAATAAAAGTCTCATTCCTGAGCAAGAAATAATGTTACAGTCCTTAAATGCTGAAGTTACCATTAAACCAGTTAATTCTGAAAGCATCAGTAACCTGATTTCTGCCAGCACTAAAACGACAAATCAGAATAAACTCACTCAAAATGGTAGGGTACGAACTGTGCGAAATTTGATCGAAGATCCCTCCTCTCCTCTTATCTAATCCTCGAGCTGCGCGACGTTTTCCTGTCCCCTCTTTCTAAGAACTTGAATTCCCAAGAAGATGGGTGATACAAAAAGTCATTTTATCGTCATTAATGAGACATTTTATTGAGACTGCAAAGCCTCTATTTTCGTTTATCAATATTGTAAAAATTGTGCATACAAAGCAAATGCTAATTTAAGATCTGGCGTGTGCTAAAGTAAAAATGAATTTCTTTTACACTCATTTTAAAGTTTTATGATGCTTAAAAGAATAATGAACCAGATCTTATATATTATTGCAATACATGTCGTATTAAGCTAGTCATTGAAGTTATTTTTGTTGTAAAACATTTTTATAGCCTCGAAATTTCACAGCAAATTAATAAAAGTAGAGAGCGAAATGATTTCTCTTACATTGTATCCAGCGCAGTTTCAAGCGAGATGATAGCTAATTAACTTGTATCCAAAAACAGGTTGTAGACGGAAATTGAAACACATTTTTATTATGAAAAAAGGGAGTTATATAAAAAAGAGTGTCACATCACCGTCCTTTCCTGAAGGAGTGTTGGTGTATTTAATTATGGCAAAGCACACGAGCGCTATCTGCCTAAGGGTAGGGATGCCTTTCGTGGAGGACTTTCTAAGGAAAACTGGCTCGTATGCACGTTACACATGGGGAAAACCACGAAAACGCCCATGCAGCCAGCTCGTTCGCGGGATTCGAACCTCGGACCGAACTACCAGTGTTCAGCGACTTTACCGCTCGGCCGCTGGTGGGCTCCCTGAAGGAGTGAAAAATAGTAAGTGTAAAGATTAAGCGAGTTACACAATTAAACTGTTTTGCAGGGTTTCCAGTTCTACAGTTTATCGTGCTATTGGCGACAGTTCATCACTATATGCATACCAACAATTTTAAGCTTATTTAACTTTCTTGCAAATTCCATATTTTAATACTAAAAACGTTTAAATATTTATTCTGTTCTCCAGTTACTCTACCTGATGTACTTGGCATACATTTAATTTCTAATACACATTTAATTAATAAATTGATAATTAACAAACAATTTCATAATTAACAAAAAAATTCGAACGTCTTTATATTAATATCTTGGGATTTTCAGTTTCCTTTTAATCCATTCCTTTTTCACATATATTCAAGCACTATATTAAAGCTTTCATGTATGTAGAATTTATATATTTTGTATTGTATTTATGCCAATTTATATTTAAATGATAATTTTTACAAATTCTTGCATCATTACTCTATCTAGCTAAGAGAAGGCGTTTCTAACACCTTAGGTAAAGATTGAAACTTCAGCATGCAACTTCTTTTCCAATCCTAGTTTCAGGCTGAATTATTAGTAAAATTAATTATTTGAAATTATTTGTTAAACAAAGTTGGTCGCTAAATCACGCTAATAATATTTCTCACTGTTGTAATTTATAATGCAACGAGTTCATGTGATTTATCATATAATTTATAATTTTTTTCATAATTTTTTCAGCAGTATTGAAATTAAGAGCAGATACTGAATAATGCTTATGCATTTAGATTACAATGATTTAGATTGCCATTGCCTTCTTCACTGATACTTTTGTGCTACATTCCTAATAATTTCATAATGGCATACAGATAAGTTTAACTCATTCACCATGTAAATCTCTAATTCAAACCACTTTTGTTCTTATATGTGCTGTATCTTCTATTTTCCTCAATATATTGTTCAGCCTAATTTCAAAAGGTCTTATGATCAAGCGGAAAAGTCACTAAACATTAGTAGTTCGACCCGAGTTTCTAATCCCAGAGATCTCCCAGCACTTTCTTTTTTTGTACTTATTTACTGTGTAAAAATGTATCGTAAAACTTTCAGTTCATGAAGTAAAAACACTTTTTTAATTTATTCTTTAAAAGTATTGCAAAAATTTTCACCTTGGCATACTTTTTTACAAATCACTCTAATAAGAAAAAATAAGGAAATAAATTAACTCGTTTTCGATGATTGATTCCTCGGTGTAAATTATATGTCACTTTTTCCAAAAGCATAGAGTTTATATGGCTATCAATAAATTAAGGATTATTTCTCCATCTAATTTTCTTAACATGTTTAGATGTATCCTTCACACTGTAGCGCTTAACTTTATGAGTTTTCTATAATCATTCAATTTCTTTAGCCATGGCAACTCTGCATACCTTCTAACAAGTAGTTATATTTTTAACCACTTTTCCTTTTTTTTTCACTTTCTTTACTAATTCCTGTTGACTATCAGTATATTATTCACTTGTTTCACAAGTGCACATATTTATTTTAAACGCAAATCTACGTAAAATATCAATAAAACTTCAGTTATGCGAAGCTCCTGATCGATTGCTTGTTTTAGACGAATATGAAATAAAGACGAATATGAAAAAATTGAAAGTGTGATGAAAAAAGAAATGTGAATATGTGAATGCAGTGGCTCTAGCTTCTAAGAATATATCAGAAAAATTCAATAAATTTTATGAATACATCACTAAAATACATAGTAGGAATTTATAATGGAAACAAACTAATAAAGCTAGTAAATTAAGCATTGCCTTGACTGCTGTAAAGCTCTTTACATCACGTGATCAGTGTAGTTAGTTACAACCCAAGATTTAAAATGCATCATATCAATTCCGATAAACTTACATTTCTGCTGCGATAAACTTATATCTGAATGAAAAACCAGATCCTTCAGCTGAAAAACCGTATCCATAAAAACGGAGTAGATATTTTTATGCTGAATGAAACTCATCTTAGATCAACAGAATCCTTCAAATATGCGAATTACGATATCCATAGGTCAGATCGAATTGATTCAGGGAGGAAGTACCGCCATTGTAATAAAAAGATACTGTCCGCATTTGGGTTCCAAACCAGACTCAGCATCTTGGATGGTGAATGTATTCGAGCTCTTTTCCTCATCGCTGTCGAATTTGGCATCTTTGCACAGTTCTCGAAGTCTCATGGAATTGGGTTTCCATTTTCGTAATATCATGCTACTTCTTCTAAGAATTTCCACACTTTTCAATTGTAATATTTAAAGTCGCCTGCAAGGATATAAGGTATTTATCCAACCTTCTTCGCATGCCTTCGTGGTGTAGTGGTCAGCACATTCGGCATATTTGAGATGACCGTGGTTCTAAAACTAAGTTTATAAAAGTAGTTTTACTCAAATCAGCATATTTTCCCTGCAAGGACCATCCAAGTTCAATGTATAGAGCTACCAATCATGAATTTAAACTTTCAAAACATTTTCTCGAATTCCAATAAAAATCTAAACCTAATAACAAAGAAAAATCATTATCACCGGGCAATGGACTATACACTCTTTTGCAAAAAAATCGAAGCACCAAGAAGGGCTTTTGTGATCGTGGCGAAATTTAGTATGCAAAAACATCTTGATCGAACATGCAAATGGTCAAAGTATCAAGGCAAACAGGAATTGCGATCATAGCGCGCAATTCGCAAAGTATAAAACGAGTAACAGAGGCGGAAAATTTATATTTTTTTGTTGCTGGATTTGTAATTCCGTAAAGAAGGAACTAAAGATGCCATCAGGACGATATCGAAGACCTTACAGACAACTAAATGACTTCGAACGTAGTCGCATTGTAGGGTTGCGTGAAGCTGGGTGGTCATACCCAGCAATAGGCCGCCAGCTGCAGCGTACAGACACTGCTGTGGAAAGATGTTGGCAGCAATGGTTGCTGCAAGGTAATTGCTGATGAAATGAAGGCTCTGGAAGACCAAGGATCACAAATGCGAGGCAAGATAGGATGATTGTTCGCCAGGCCCGAACCGCCCCAACGGTATTATTGTCGACTATTCAACGCATTACAGCCACGTCTACGAGTATACCTCCCGTAGTACCGTCCACCGTTTCACGGAGCTTGTCTGAGGCTCACAGAAACCTTTAAGGCTGCTATCACATGTCGGTTTGTTTCGGGAAAACAACTCTTTGCAACAATTTTTCTGTTTTGTCACAACAGCCAATCACCATAGATCGCTTTGGGGTAAACATAGGGAAAACGGGTCCCCCATTACAAACAAGCTGATAGCTGATTGGTTGAAAACAAAAAACTTGCAATTTTTTGGGAAAGGAAGAAAAAAGTCGCACTTCTTTCTTTCAATCGTAAACCAGGCAGAAAAATTGTCCGAAACAGTTGTTCGTATGAAACGAACGCCCTGTGAACGTTTGCCTTTGACCCCACAACATCGGCGGAGTCATTTGGAGCGGTGTCGCAGCCGATCATTATGGCTGTCATCAGACTGGCATCGTACAGTGTTCAGCGATGAATCCCGCTTCACTCTTGAAGCAGATGACCACCGTATTCGTGTCTAGAGAGGACGGGGCCAGCGGTCCCAATCAGCCTTTGTTTTACAAAGGCATACAGCCATAATCCCTGGTGGGATGGAATGAGGCGCTATATCTTATGACAGCAGGTATCTTTAGTCATCCTCCGTACATCTTTAACAGATCAACGATATGTTGATACCATCCTGCGGCCGGTTGTATTACCCTTCATGGCACGTCATCCTGGGGTCATTTTCCAACAAGATAATGCCAGGCCACATACCGCTCGCTAAGGCGCTCAGGGAACGTGCCGCTGCTATGTCATCAACCATGTGGCACAACCACGGATGCCTTGCATCCTGTTTATGACATTATCCCGGACTGCAACATGCACATGTGTCATCCTGTTTGGGTCGAAATCTGGTTTCATTTCTGTTCGTGATGCATATGCTTCTCTCCTACTTTCGCTTTCCCTGTCTTGAACCAAGACGTGTTATTCGATGCACGTATAAATTTTTAACATAGAACATTTCAACTTACTTTGAATGTGAAAACTGTGCATTTCTCACATTGTTTTTATAATTTGAATTTACATTTTTCAGATGGATTTGGAACAACAGTTTGAAAACGAGTCTATGCCTATCAACGCGGATGTACTGGAGATTGCGGATTCTGAGTGCAATTATAAACAACGCCATGAGAACCCCCACAGAAACACCCGTCTCTCAGAACGCTAATTACAAGCGAAAACTAGAAGATAATACTTCTAAGAAGAAAGTAAGTATTACGAAAAGAGTTTATTATTGGTATAACGCACACTCATTTTTGTTATTCTTTTACCAAACGACTCATAATTATTTTTTCTCTTTCAGCGCAATGAGCGGTTTATTGAAGACGCTATGCCAGAGAAGCTAACACATATTAAGAACAATGTCTTTGTGGGACCTATTATTTTCAACGGAAAGATCCCCGTGCACATCAGGCAATACACCAAGTGCGGAAGCCAAACTTTCTAATTCGTAATGGTGTGATTTTAGAGCCTTTGTGTTTAGATATCGTCTCTCGACGCAGCCCACAAGATGTGTTCACAATGAATCTCAAGCTGCCCGATACATTTAGTTCTGAATAGGATGGATACCACTTCACGTTAACGCAACTGACAGCGAAAAGAGTAAAAAAATGTGACATTACTCTATAAGGTATTTCTCCCACCTTCCTAGCATGGCTTCGTGGTATAGTGGTTCTGCAAGCTCGGCCGGTATCCAGAGGTCTGTGGTTCGATTCCCGGCGAAGGCGGTTGCTAATTTTTCATTTTTCCTGCTTCCAAAAAATTACCTAATGTCTTTACAGTGGCGCCCGAACTAAAAGGGTGGTGGATGATGATTTCTTCCCACCCAGGATTTTGTGATTGGATCCCCTAAAAAACTCCGTCGCCCTTTAAAAAGGGGAGTATATAAGGTATTTCTCCCACTTTCCTAGCGTGCCTTCGTGGTGTAGTGGTTCTGAACGCTGGGCCGGTATTCCAGAGGTCTGTGGTTCGATACCCGGCAAAAGCGTTTGCTATTTTTCGTCTTTCCTACTTCCAAAAATATATTTAATGTCTCTAGAAGTCTTACAATCGCCCAGGGGAAGGAATTCTGCACAAATTACAATCGCATCAGTGAGATCGCAACTAACCTCGTATATCAATGTATGGACTTCTGTCAGTCTTACGAGAGTGTATCTGAGGAACGTATTAACGAGGAGAAGCTTCTAGAATCCTTCGACATTTCTTTGGGAACAGCATGCCTCAAAACCATTCTAAAGACATCACTAGAAGAGCTGATCCAAGAACACGGAGATTTGAAGTATCCTAAACTCATAGACTGTGAAGAGCCCGCTCTTCATAAAACAGAAACTATGAACACCCAGGCTCTGAAATTAAACGCTGTCGACATAATTACACAATTGTGACTAATGTATGGACTGAAGACCCTAATTTACGGTACTCACTAACTTTCGAGGTCAGCATAGCACATTCGACTGTGTTCCCCTCCTCGTCAATCTTAATTCTTGAAAGGACATCGGCTACCACATTTTCTTTTCTGGAGTATATTTTATAATCAAATTAAACTCTTGCAGTTTTAATGTCCACCATATAAGGCGGGGTGAGAGATTCTTCCCCGAATACAAGAATACAAGCGGCCGATTGCCGAGTGGTCCGAGTATATTGTTATCGGAGCACTTCCGAAATAAACGCGGAATTTTTATACCGCTAATAAAACAGCGAGCGTTTCTCGCTTGGTTGCCGAGTAATTCCTTTGAGTTGAGCAAGTGTTTCGCTAAAAAAGCTATTGGCTGCCAATTTTCGGAGAGAACCGCGCCAATTGCGTAATCCGATGCATCCGCAGCAATCTCTAGATTTTGTTCCCCTTCTGTGAATTTAAGAACTGGAGCATTAATTAGGGAGTTTTTCAATTGTTCAAAAGTCTTGTTCACCTCGTCTGTCCGTGTGAATCTCGTTTTCTTTCGTTTAAGAACTAATAAAGGTTCAACTTATCTTCGCAAAATCTTTTATGAAAACTCTATAATAGGAACACATGCCCAATAAAGGAAGATAATTTCTTAGCCGTATTTGGGGGAGGGTAGCTTTTAATTGCTAAATTCTTCGAATTGCCGGTCTCAATACCTTTATTTGAGATTTTGTACCCTAGATATTGCAGCTCCTTGGCAGCAAATTTGCACTTCTTCGGGTTTATCTTGAAGCCGGCCTCATTTAACAAAGTAAAAACTTCCTCCAAATGTTTAATATGTTCGTCTATCATCTCATTGGTGACTATTATGTCATCCAGGTACATTATCGTAATGTTACCCAAAACTGGCCTTAAAACGACATCCATAGCTTTTTGAAATTTAGCCGGAGCTTCGCTTAAACCAAACGGCATTCTTAAAAAGGCATAAACGCCTGATTTTGTAATGAAAGCTGTCTTTTCGACATCCTCGGGTTTCACAGCAATCTGAAAATAGCTTGACGTCAGGTCTAATGTTGTCATGAATTTAGTAGAACGAATTTTCCTAATTATTTCATCAATTATCGGGAGGGATACGTGGGATATTTTGTTATACTGTTCAGCTTGCGGTAATCAGCCGCAAACCTCCACGAGTCCGGGTGCTTGGGCGGTAGCCCATTTTCTTTTTGCAGAGAACCACCGGACTTGCGTAAGGACTAGCGCTTAGCGCGATGATTTTGTTATCTAACATTTTCCTAATATGATGTTCCAGGATAGCTTCCTTTATGCGGTCATACCTATACGGCTTAGACCGGACTGGAGGGGCGTTCCCTGCGTCAATGGCATGCGTAACCACTTGGCAGACATGGACCTTATGAGAGATAGACTAACCGAGTAGGCGGAGCGTGCGTCACCCACATGTCCGCAAGAAAGAGTATAGGACGATCTGGCTTACTTTAACACGGAAACCTATGGCGTTTGTATCACATAACTGTTTTAATTATTAAATGTGATAAGTTGTATAAGTGACGAGATTGTGAAAGTCACAGTTTTTGCGAATAAGATTTAATATACCTCATTAAAGCACTTTTTACTGCATTTTGCGCATTTTTTTCACGCGTAATTCTTGTACAAACATCTTTACTTTGGTAAAACGGTAAAAATTTTAAACGCAAAACTTATGAACTTATTTCTGTGTACAAATAAGGTAAAATTAAGTAATATTGATAGCACATGATGCTTTGAAACAAATAAGGTAAAATTAAACAAGATCTGATAGTTATCTTTGATTTTATGAGCATTTTCAGGCAGTAGTTTTTAAAATTATTATAACATAACAAGACGATCATTTATTTCATTATATGATCATTAATTACTTACATTACAAGATGATTGTTTATTTTAGTAGTTCATAAAATTTGGAACATAACGTTTCTGAGTGTAATGAGGAAAAAATATAAAGATAAATTCTGGAAGCACTCAGATTTCATTTTATATTACATCCAAAGAAGCGTTTTTTGTAACTTTTTGTGTGTTACCTTTATTTATTAAATATCATGTTCTTCGCAAGTAAACCACACTAAATTCAAATTCAAGAGCAATATCTCAAAATATTTGAAAATGGCATATTTCCGCGTTGGAGATAAAAATGTTATTTTCTGTACAGGGTTGCCATTGCTCTCTTTGAACTCGTTGAGTTTGTTAATCAAAACTTCGTTAAAGTTACAAAATATGAAATGGATTAAAACAAATTCGAAATTAGGCCGTCCAGGTGCCCATATTCGGCTGGCGGATTACGTTATTCAAAAATTGATAGCTCTAAACTCCGTTGTTTTTTTCACTGTGCGAGAGAAACATACATGCATTCATTCATGCAGATTCTTCATTATTTAATTTCTTTAAATATAAAACAGGGCGATAATATTTGGTGGCAACAGTTTGCAAAGTGAAACAGACATTTATAGTGAAACAAAGCAAAATGCCGTTTCGAAACTAATAGCTTTTCTGAGCTGCCGCCCCTTTGGACTAATAAAATAAATTCACAATAAATAAGAAAACTTATTTATTGTGCAGAACTAGAAATAAATTTTAAAAAACAATCACTATAAAATACTAGCACAATTAATTATTACAGCTAAATACAATTTTTAATATTAGAATAACTGCATAAAAATTATTAAAGTGGATATGCATAAAAATTATTAAAGTGGATGTTAAAAGTGTTTATCACTATGATGTATTGTGAAATATTATTGAAATAAAACTCCTTTGTAGAATATTATGCTATAATATTCACCTATAATTTAAAAAAAGCAGTACAATTAAGAATTTTAAACAAAAACTTTCAAAAATCCATTTTTTGATTTTAGTGTTTTTTACTTATTTACACCAATAAAAAGCGAGAAAATTGTTTGTTTGAAAATAAAATATTATTTTTTTAAAGAAGTAGATACACATTTCCTTACAGCATAGGAAAATCTAATAAAATATCCAGACCTGAAAGCATGCAACAGCTTTATAATTATTTAGAACATTAATTATGCTTTCTAAACATGCTTAATTTTTAAAAATCAATCACAATTTCAAAAATAAAAATATCTAAAAATTCTAGTTTGTGAAATGAGGCGCTGTCACCAGCTTTTTCTTGAAAATTATACACGCTGTAATAGCCAACTATTCTTAAGTTTCTGCAAGTCGTCCCTACTCCTCCGGATGTGGTCAAGGTGACAACCGGGAATGTGCCGGGACAAGGGAGAAAACTCATGAGTTGGTCTATTTCTTATACGGTCCATGTTGGCAGAAGCCAGGTTTTTCATTAAATCAAGCGAAAATTTTTCTTACCAATTTTCAACTTTTTCTTTCTTTTCTAGTCCAAGGTGATGAAGAGGTACTTCTGTCATTGTCCCTTCTTCTTCTTCCAGAGCATCCATGTATACCTGCAAGGTAGAATTCTAGAAAATTAAGATTCACGCTAGCTGCACGTCAGAAATCAACCCCCAAGATTGCTGAAGTTAACAAATCCTTTACTACCGGAAAGTTTACTTTTTGTATTTCATTTTTAATTTATACATGCAACCCGATTTTTTCCAAGCATATGCTCTGTTTGCCTTGGGCGGCAATTACCTGTTGTCTCGTGGGTTTGAACAATCTACAACGATGTAAATGCTTTTTAAAAAATTCTTGTGAGAGGAAGCTACACTGAGCTTCTGTATCCAGAAGGCAATAGTCGGGACATCATTTAGTAAAAT